AAAAGAAAAAAAAAAAAAAAAAAAAAAAAAAAAAAAGAGTGATTTATTGCACACCAACCCATTCCCTCAGCATTTCCTGATGGTTTTCATGCCACCCCATCTTGACATGGTTGGAATGAAAGATCTCAGAGGTCTTTTACAACCTAAATAATTCTATGACTCTCTGATGGTGGTCCTGCTTCCATCCTGCTCGTCTCCAGCCTGCAGCTGGGGTTGGATGAAAACCACAACAAAGGAGCTTAGTAGCAATAATATCATAAGAGCAACAGCAAAAATAATGACAAGAGAGAAGATAGTAAGGTAACAAACAGCATCAGAGGTTTCACATCTCAAAGTTCCCTCCAGCTCACCAACAGAGAGAGAAGGATGAGCCCACAAGGCAGCACAATCCATGCTAAAAAACAACATCTCCACCATCTTCCAGCCATTTCAGCCCTTCATTTCCAGTTTTTGATGCTGTGTGAGATATATCTCACTGCATAAATATTCAAACTTCCAAAGGGGGAGATCTGTGATAATGAAACAGAGGAAACACCGAAGCGAAAATACTCATGAGAAAGAGACTGGAGTAACTCTAGATAATAAAACTGAGCATGCAAAATGCAGATACCTTCATGAAATAGTGCTGGCTGCAACTGTTTATTGAATGAGGACTGACCTAAGGTAACTGTACCAGTTTTAACATGCACAGCAGGAAATACTAGCTGATTTTAAATTGGGTTGTGTTAGCAGAGGAGTTTCTTCTAGCAGGAGTGACCATAGTAAATTCAAAGTTGAATACAGACACACAGAAATGAAAAACAATATGAGGAAGGGCACCCAGGCTGATCAGATTTTGCATCAGACACCAGACTAAATGAGAAGTGTATTTCCAGCCACACTAAGCCACCAGACAAGCAATACCCTGAGAAACACCTTTAGGAGTAGATGAAAAACAACTCCAAAGTGAGCTTTTCAGTAAAACTCTGAGATGCTGATGAATTATGAGGTGTCAAAGGACGTCTGAAAAAGAGAAACCAAGAGCTGGGGTTATGGGCACAGAGGGAAGCAGCTATTCACACAAGATATGCTAAAGCAAAGCCAGGCAGTAGGGAAGGTGTGTGTCCAGAATATCTGATGGGGAGGACTGGTCCTGCTTGTTAGAGGAGCCTCCAAATCCCACAGGACACAGAGGACTGTGCCAAATGCTCTGCAAAATGTGTGACTAAAAGTAGGAAAGAAGTTTACTGCCAGAGGCCAGGCAAAGCAGGCTGTAATAAGATGGTAAAAATATATGGGATTTTTTCAACTTTTACTACTGTGGAGGCATATTCTAGAAGACTAGATATGATGGTTGTAAAATAGAAAGGAGGAGAGTGTTCTGCCATGGATTTCTCACTCCCAGTTTTTAAGGTCGCTCCTATGGCAATTTAAAAGAAGAAATGGACGTGTGTGAGCAGTTATATCAGAACTGAGAAAGATGAGGAGCATGTCAAGTGCCTGATATCCATCAGATGGACCATGGTGGAAATGTCTGCTGGAGCAATCACAGCTGCAATTAAAACCTGCAAAAACTAGAGATGTTTCACCAAAAAAATCACTGATGGAAGCAAATTACCAAGGCAGGTGATTCAACCTCCACCGAAGGCTGTTCAGGCAAAGTTAGAAATTTTTGTTCCCCACCCCAAAGGAATCTGCTAATGAAAGAAAAAAGGAGTATTTTAAAAAATTATTTTTAGAAATTATTTTAAAAAATGAAGATCATAACCCAGCTTAGAGCAATATGGTTGTTCAGAGTGCTCAGCAAACTTTAAGTCCTCCACAAATATGACCCTTTTCCCACTGCCATGGCCACTCCAGCACTACATCTTTATTCTTTGTTGACATGAGACTTGCTAATGAATTAAGTGTATTATAGACTCCAAGTATTTGAGTGCAGCTAACCTCAGAACATGCACATCACTCATCCCCAGTGTATATTAAGTTTCAATTAACCATGAAACTAGAAGCAGTCAGTTTACTGAAAGTCAAAAAAAAATCCCACTTCTCCTTTGATAGAGATGCTCTGTAAATATCATTAATAATAAATTAGCTAAGTATCAGGACTTTACATCAAGCTTGTTAAATGTGAGAGGAGGGGAGATGCCAGCTGAAGTTAAACCTTGGGGGATGTGGCTGCTTTAATTTTTGCCAGGGACAAGTCAAGGATGGAAGACAACCTGGGTCTACCAAAAAAATGCAAAGAACAGAGAGAAACAGAGGTATCAATTTAAACACAACAAATCCATCATCTAGAAGAGAGCTCATGGGTAACAATATAAATACCAAGAAGAAACATAATCCTCTCAGTACTGTAGTTAAATCTTGTGATGCTTCTATTATGCTGATAAAACAGAGTTATGAGCTGACAAAAAGCTGAAGGTGCCCAATCAGACAATAACAGTATAAGCTTTTTTTTTTTTTTTTTTTTTTTTTTTTTGAGCCCACTTCAATTAAAAGGGGGAAATACAGACTCTCTGAGGCACATTCAACAACATCAACATTTCTGGGGTTTTCAACTCTATTTTAATGTATTTTTTGATTAAGCTATGGACAACTTTACTGACTTTGAAATGTCACGTTGAGAGCATCCACATCCCAAGGAAGCTGGATCTATCAGAGGCCATTACTTGGTTTATTTTGGGAATAATAAGTTTACCAGTTATGGTAGGAGAGCATTTCAGTATTTTCCCAACAGCATGTGACAATGAGACCAAACTCTTATACAAACACCAGCCTCAAAACAGCGCTGAGCTTTACTGTTGATATAACTAACTAGCAAAGAAAGCTGACACAGGGTATTAATTTTTCACTTCTTATTAATTGCTGCTAATTAACACTTCAAACAGTCCCCAGCCATACTGTTAACAGTAGCACACTGGCTGGCCTGCAATCATCAACATTACACGAGCAGCACACACCACTGTACTCCAATTCCTCTGCCAGTGTGAAATCCACTGGAAACCAAATCAAGGACCACAAGCCAGCCCGGGAACAAGGTGATGGGAAACAGCACCAAAAGAGGCTCAAGGTGACATTACACCAGGCAGAAGCACAAAGGAAAATCCTACGAAATGCATTTGAAGGAGCAGGGAGGGGGGAAATTCCCTGGGTTCAGATCCCTTGCTCATTGTTTCTGCACAGCGGTGGCTCAGACAGATCCGATTCTTCCCCCCACGCAGCTCCCATTCCCTTGGCATTTAATTCAGATCCAGGCTCTTAACTCACAGGCAGGAAAAGCCAGGCAATATAATGAAGAATCTCTTTTATTTCCTTCTTCCCACGGCTGTCAGTCTCAGCCCTGCCTTTATCTCCAACGTGCTGCCTTGTCATCTGTATCAATATTGGCTCTTTGTACAAGCACAGCATTGGCTTCCTCACACCATTTTACACTTCTCATCTCCTGTCAGCTCCATCCTGGTGCTTCTTCCTTTGGAGTGATCCTCTGTAGGGAGAGATCCCTTACCCACACACAAATCCAGCACCCCTAGGGCTCTTCCTTAAAGCTACTCCTGAAAAACTTCATTTCTCCCTCCAAAGCATGCTTGGTTAATCGGGATTGACACAAGGAAGACAAAAAAGATCCTGCACCCTTAAAACCTCCAGCCTGGTCTCTGTCAGGCTTGGTGCTGTGACCAATTCCCTGGGAGCCTGTTCCAGTGCTCAGCCACCCTCTGGAGGGAGAACCCCTTCCAAATACCCAGCCCAAACCAAGCCAAGAAAAATCACATCCAAAGGATGACTGACTTAATTTCAGACACCTGAAATTCAGATGAGATGAACAACCCCCAGGGGGTTCCTGTTCTTGCACAGCACCTGCTAATGTTTTAAATACCCAGATTTCCCAGTAGACAAGCTGCATCAGTCACAGAATGGTTTGGGTTGGAAGAGGCCATAAAGATCACCTGGTTCCAACTCTGCTGCCATGGGCAGGACACCTTCCACTAGACTGAACAGAGATGCTCAATGCCATGTGGTCCTGGTGGTGTTTGTGGAGCAGGATGAAGGGGATCTCATCCTGTGGGATATGATCCAGGATGCACTGCCAGTGACAACCTGCCACAACACTCACATCCCTGAGCATCTGCACTATGCAGTGGAAGCTCATTCAGAAGGGATACTGAACACATCAAGTAACAGTTTCACCTCCTAGAAAAACGGCTTGTCTCTCCTCTCTGACAAAGTACCAGTTGGAAACCTTTAAAGGACCATTTCTTTCAAATTCCTGCGAGGGTTTTTTTATTATTTATTTGAGAGGTTCCCTCGCCAAATGTTTTCACTTATAGCAACTGACAATTTCTCTTTCATATTGAAGACCCCACAGGATTTTAATAAGGGAAATTTACTGCTTTGAACAGCTCTGTGTTGCACTCTGGGGTGGAAGAAACAAATCCCATGTACTCTGGAGAACCAGGAATGTTCACAATATTCAAATACATAAAAAACAGCTGAATGGGGAAAAAACATAATCTGTTTTCCATGTTCTTGGTGGATTGAAGAAGGCAGCTTGGCTGAAACTGCAGGGAGGGGACAGGATTTGGGCAAGAGAAGAAATCACTTATAACGAATTTGGTGA